ATCAACAAAACCAAGAGCTGGTTCTTTGAAAGGATAAACAAGATTGATACACCTCTAGCCAGGCTCACCAAGAAACAAAGAGAGAGGACCCAAATAAACAAAATCAGAAATGAAAGAGGAGAAATAACAACAGACCCCATAGAAATACAAAGGATTGTTAGAAAATACTATGAACAACTCTACTCCAACACACTAGACAACCTGGAGGAAATGGACATATTCCTAGATAAATACAACCTTCCAAAACTTAACCAGGAAGAATCTAAAAATCTCAATAGGCCAATAACTATGGAGGAAATCGAAGCAGTAATCAAAAAGCTTCCAGCAAACAAAAGCCCGGGGCCAGATGGCTTCACAGGGGAGTTTTACCAAACATTCAAGGAAGACCTAAAACCTATCCTCCTCAGACTATGTCAAAAGATCCAAGAGGAAGGAGCACTTCCCAGCTCATTCTATGAAGCCAACATCACCCTAATCCCAAAACCAGATAAAGACAATACAATGAAAGAGAATTACAGGCCAATATCCCTCATGAACATAGATGCCAAAATCCTCAACAAAATCCTAGCAAATCGGATCCAGCAGTACATCAAAAAGATCATACACCATGACCAAGTAGGATTTATCCCAGGGATGCAAGGATGGTACAATATCCGCAAATCAATAAATGTGATACATCACATAAACAAATTGAGAGAGAAAAACCACATAGTCATATCAATTGATGCGGAAAAAGCATTTGACAAAATCCAACACCCTTTCTTGATAAAAACTCTCAGCAAGATAGGAATTGAGGGATCATACCTCAACATAATAAAAGCCATATATGACAAACCCACAGCCAACATCATAATCAATGGGCAAAAACTAAAATCATTCCCCCTAAAAACAGGAACAAGACAGGGATGCCCCCTCTCACCACTCCTGTTCAACATAGTACTGGAAGTACTAGCCATTGCGATCAGACACGAAGAAGAAATAAAAGGCATCCAGATTGGAAAAGATGAAGTAAAACTGTCCTTATTTGCAGATGACATGATACTGTACATACAGAACCCTAAAGACTCCATCAAAAAATTATTAGATTTAATAAATGAATTCGGCAATGTAGCAGGATACAAAATTAATGCTAAGAAATCCATGGCATTTCTTTACACCAATAGTGAACTTACAGAAAGTGAAACTACAGAAGCAATCCCATTTACCATTGCACCAAAAAAATTAAAATACCTAGGAATAAACTTAACTAAGGAGGTAAAAGACTTATATGCTGAAAACTACAGGACACTGAAAAAAGAGATAGAGGAAGACATAAACAGATGGAAGAATATACCGTGTTCATGGATTGGTAGAATCAACATCATCAAAATGTCCATACTACCCAAAGCAATTTATAGATTCAATGCAATCCCCATTAAATTACCAACAGCATATTTCACAGATCTAGAACGAACGTTCCAAAAATTCATCTGGAATAAAAAAAGACCCCGAATAGCTGCAACAATCCTCAGAAAGAACAAAGTAGGTGGGATCTCAATACCAGATATCAAACTGTATTACAAAGCCACTGTTCTTAAAACAGCTTGGTACTGGCACAAGAACAGACATATAGATCAATGGAATAGATTAGAGACCCCAGAAATCAACCCAAACCACTATGCCCAATTAATATTCGACAAAGGAGGCAAGAACATACAATGGAGTCAAGACAGTCTTTTCAATAAATGGTGTTGGGAAAATTGGACAGATACATGCAAAAGGATGAAATTAGATCACCAACTCACACCATACACAAAAATAAACTCAAAATGGATAAAAGACTTAAACGTAAGACGGGAAACCATAAAAATACTAGAGGAATCCACAGGCAGCGAAATCGCAAACATATGCCGAAGAAATTTCTTCTCTGATAATGCTCCTAGGGCAATGGAAACTAAAGAGAAAATAAACAAATGGGACTACATCAAAATAAAAAGCTTTTGCACAGCAAAGGAAACCATCAACAAAACAACAAGAAGACCCACTACATGGGAGAACATATTTGCCAATGATACCACCGATAAGGGTTTAATTTCCAACATTTACAGGGATCTCATGAAACTTAACAAAAGGAAGATAAACAATCCAATAAAAAAATGGGCAACGGACCTAGATAGACACTTTTCTAAAGAGGACATACAGAAGGCCGAAAGACATATGAAAACCTGCTCAAAGTCACTAATTATACGAGAGATGCAAATCAAAACGACAATGCGTTATCATCTCACACCTGTCAGAATGGCTATCATCAACAAATCAACAAACAACAAGTGTTGGAGAGGATGTGGAGAAAAAGGAACCCTTCTGCACTGCTGGTGGGAATGCAGACTGGTGCAGCCACTGTGGAGAACAGTATGGAGCTACCTCAGAAGACTAAAAATGGAACTCCCATTTGACCCAGTGATCCCACTACTAGGAATATATCCCAAGAAACCAGAAACGCCAATCAGAAAGGATATATGCACCCCTATGTTCATAGCAGCACAATTCACCATAGCTAAGATTTGGAAACAGCCTAAGTGCCCATCAGCAGATGAGTGGATTAGAAAACTGTGGTACATATACACAATGGAATACTATGCTGCGGTAAAAAAAAAGGAACTCTTGCCTTTTGCAACAGCATGGATGGAACTGGAGAGCATTATGCTAAGTGAAATAAGCCAGTCAGAGAAAGATAAATACCACATGATCTCACTCATTTGTGGATTATAGAGAACAACATAGACTGATGAAAAGGGACAGACTCAAAGACTGAGAAACAGCAATCAGGCTATCAATCCCCAGAAGGAAAGTAGGGGAGGGCGGGGGTAAGGGGAAGAGATCAACCGAAGGACTTGTATACATGTATATAAGCCATACCAATGGACATGGACAACAGGGGGGATGGGAGCATGAGTGTGTGTGTGGGGGAGGTTGGGGGTTAATGGGGGGGATGAGGACACATTTGTAATACCTTAACTAATAAAAAAAAAAAAAAAAAAAAAAAGAACTTCTGGTGATGCGTTTTCTATGCCTGATTGAGACTTACCCATGCCATGTATTTATTATTGAAAATGTACACTTATCTGGTCTCCCTGGGCTGCCTTGGTCAATCCTCAAGGTTAGCAGAAGTCTCAGGACCATTTTATGGAAGTAGCAGATGAGAGTTTGGTGGAGATGCCAACATGACCTTCTCAAAGATCAAAACCTGGAGTCAGCCTCAGTGGGCCGTTTGTATCCCCCATAATATTCAGTCTCAGGCATCTGACATCTCAGGCTCTAGTTATGTCTGAGATGTGGGTCAGCACAGCCAAAGCTGCATTTTTGAGCACGTTTATCCAGTTGGTATCACATGCTCCAAGTTGCTATCTTCCCCCAACATGCTGGATTGTCAGAGTGGGACAAAAGTGCACCCGGGCAATGGGAAGTCGCAGGGAGTCTGGTCCCAGGGTGGCAGAGTTTACCTTGGGCGGGTCATTTAATCCTGCTATGCAGAACTGTTGCCATTTCTATGCCATTCCTCAGTTTAATTAGAACCCAACCCAGTCCTGATGCATGGCTCAGATGGCACAATGAATGTGAAAAAGCTTTGTGAAGATAGTCCCTCTCCTAGGGAGACGGAAGGGACCCTGGTGTGAGGAGAAACAACCAATACCTGCGGAAAGTGCTGCATACAAGCCAGCCAGCAAGAACAGTTACTCCGGCACAGACTTAACCTGAGGCCTCAAAGATGTTTTATTATCTTTTCCTCTTTTTTTTTTTTTTTTAAGATTTGAGAATTGATTTTTAGAGAGAGGGGTAGATAGGAGGAGAAGGAGGGAGAGAGAGAGAGAAAGAGAAAGAGATAAAAACATGGATTGGCCAAACCGGTTTGGCTCAGTGGATAGAGCGTCGACCTGCGGACTGAGAGGTCCCGGGTTCGATTCTGGTCAAGGGCATGTACCTTGGTTGCAGGCACATCCCCAGTGGGAGTGTGCAGGAGGCAGCCGATCGATGTTTCTCTCTCATCGATGTTTCTAGCTCTCTATCTCTCTCCCTTCCTCTCTGTAAAAAATCAATAAAATATATTAAAAAAAACAAACAAAAAAAAAAACAAAAAAACATGGATTGGCTCTCTCTTGCATACCAATTGGGTGGGGGCTGGGGGGTCAAGCCTGCAACCTGGGCTTGTGCTCTGACTCAGAATCAAACCGGAAACCTTTCAGTGCACGGGACAACGCCAACTGAGCCACACCGGCCAGGGCTCTTTTCCTCTTTTAAACACGAGTTTCAGTTCTGGCTTACACTCAGGATTCGTGCACAGAGGGCTTCACAGTTTATTTATAATGCTGGTTGTAACTTTGAATTCCATAGTGTGGGCCAGGCACTTCACTTATTTCTAATCTTCACAATTATTCTTCACATTAGAGCTCTCCCTCTGCTTCCGCAGACGAGAATAACGAGGCTCGGAGAAGTTCAAGGACTTGCCCAGTCTGCCCACGAGTAAGGATTGTCAGGGGTCTTTTCTTATCCCGGAACCTGTGCTCCTAGCCCCGATTCCATGCTGCCTTCTCTGCGTCAGAAAGACTTTTGAGGCGGGTTGAAGGAAGCAGGGAGAGATGCAAGGAGAGGCTCTTCGATGCTAGGGTACACCCGATGGTGTAAAGTTCACCTCTATACCGAACAGGCAACATACTCTACCGGCCATCTTGGTTGAGGCAACCCCAATTCCTCTTTATTTTTCTGTGACGGCAACCAAGGGAATAAGGCCAAGCCGCTCAACAGCGGCTTTTAAAGGAGCACCGGCAACTCCCCCGGCAAGGAGCGCGGCTTGCGGGGCCGCCCGAGTCCCCGCGTGGCCGTCCCGGGCACGGCCTCCTCGCGGGCTCCGCTCCCCGCTCCGGTCGACGCGGTCCGGGAGGGGCTCGTGTGGTCCACCGCCCCCTCTCTTGGCCCCGCCCCCTCCGCCCTGGCCCCGCCCCCTCATTTAAGTACGCGGCGCCGGCGGCTGCGTCGAGCTCGCCGCGGACCCAAGATGGCGGCGTGTGGACGTGTACGGAGGATGTTCCGCTTGTCGGCGGCGCTGCAGCTGCTGCTGCTGCTCGGGGCGGCCGGGGCCCAGAAACTACCGGGCCAGGCCGGCCACGGCCAGGGCCAGGGCCCGGCGCCCAACTTTGGGCCCGTTGTGGGGCAGGCTGGCGGCGGCGGACCGGCGGGGCAGCCGCTGCTCCAGCTGCAGCAGCAGCAGCAGCAGCAGCAACAGCAGCAGCAACAGCAGCAGCAGCAACAACCACCTCAGCCGCCGCAGCCACCTTTCCCGGCGGGTGGGCCTCCGGCCCGGCGGGGCGGAGCGGGGCCCGGCGGGGCCGGCGGGGGCTGGAAGCTGGCGGAGGAAGAGTTCTGCAGGGAGGACGTGACCCGAGTGTGTCCCAAGCACACCTGGAGCAACAACCTGGCGGTGCTCGAGTGCCTGCAGGACGTGAGGGAGGTGAGGAGGCGGTCCGGGGCCGGGAGGGCCAGGCCTGGTGCGGGCCGGTGGGTGTCGCCAGCCCGGGGAGCGGCTGACGCTGGTCCGCTGCTCCGCTCGCCTCTGCGCTGCGCTCGCGCCTTCCCTCCCAGCACCTCGCCGGGCGCCTTCCGAGAAGCCGGCTCCTCCCCCACCCGCTCCCTCCCGGCGCGGGGACGTGGGACGCCGACCCCGGCTCGGCGCGCGGCCACGGTCGGCGGAGGCCCGGAGCGGGTTTGTGTTTGGTCCGGTCTTTTGTGTGATGCTCTCCGCGCAGTGGCTCCTCGCGGGAGACCTGTTCGCGGTTGTGCCTTCCGTTTGGATTTGACAATTTGTAGCAACCCTCCTTTCACCCGAAAATGGTTGGCGCTCTTACGCTGTTCAAGAATGGGCTGTTTATTGCCAGAAGGTAGTGTTTGTTTAGGTAACTTGGGTTCGGGCTGATGGGTATTGTTGTCAGTGGCCGGATTTGCTGTCTTTACCCCATTCTTTTGTAATTCGAAAATTCCCGTGATCTGCCAGGTACTGAAACTAATGAATGGGTGGCTCCCCCCTTCTTCTTCTGTAGGTCTTTTTGGACTGTATCGCAAGTTTAAGCTCTTAACTCCAAGTGATGTAGAGTCCAGAGCTTGGAAAGTTGGGGCAACATTGGAAGCTGTAATACAGATACAGTATTTGTGATTGGGTTGTGGGGTCCTGTCTTTCTGACGTCTGAATTAGATTTTAACAGTGCCTCCCAAGGCAATCTAGATTTGATGTTATTTGATGTGATTCAGTTAGGTGACAGAACATTTCTTCTCTAGATTTAATGCTGCAGACATATATGACAATTCTCAGTCAGAGTTTGAGAGCAAATCTGGTAGGGATACTTAAAAAAAAAAAAAAAAGGTTTAGGTATATAGTCTTAGGCCCAAGAGTGGACGAGGAGAATGAAGTTGCTGTTTGGTACAGTTTTGTTTGGCAACTTGTATCATCAGAGTTGCCCAAGGTGTTCAGGGTCATAGGAAGACGACTGGTTTGTAGAAAGGCGCTACTTTTGGCAGTCGTTTCCACCTCCACTCCCCAATCCCACGGCGATATTTGATCTATATATTATATACACAATAGTTCATGAGAGGAAAAGACATACATAATCAGGAGACAGAGAGAAAGGAAGTTTCCAGAGCCACCAGAAATGTGGGGCCTTCAGGTACTTCTCAGCCACAATATGAATAAGTAGAAGGATGATCATCTCTTGTTATTCTTTATTCTTCAGCCATTCCTAGATAGATACAGCTAAGGCTCTTAACTCTGTGAAGCTTTCTGGATATTCATTTGGTCATTGACGATCTATAGTAGAAGTTCCTTCAAACTAGCATCCTGATACTGGTTTGTGGCAAAACAGGACATTATGGGGAAAATGGTAAAAAGTGGCCCATCCGGGGAAGACATGTCTCTTTGTGTGCATCAGGGACATATGGAAACATCCACTTACAGGCATAGCCTTCCTTTGTCATGCATGTAGAAGTGTGTAGCAGCATGTGTAATCCACAAACAGATCTGACCACTTTCGGAGTCTGTTTAATTTAGTAGGTACTGTCTTCCTGGCATTACTTACTTTAAAGAACCTGGCCTGGAAATGTAGTTCTTGCTCCATTTGCCTGTAAGATTCTCAACGAGGATATTGTTTCAGTAACTACATTTTTCTTCCTTTATGGGATGATATATAAACTCTTTGAGGGTAGTTACTGGGTCCTATATTTCCTTTGTAACTTTCTAGAGTACCTAATTCAGTGCTAAGTCAGTTAACATTGTCGACTGATTGAGGATGAGTAAACTAATGGGTTCAGTTTTACGCTCCAGAGGAAGAAAAGGTGTCATGTAAATCGAAGGTGCGGGTATTTTGGTGGTAAGAGGAAATCTAAATTTCCAATTTAATTGATTTTCCTCCAATTTTATATACATAAAAATAAAGAAGAATTCCATGAACAACAAGGTATATTCTTCAGAAGGTGGAGCTATTTTTAAACCACTTTTTAAAAAAAGACAGCAGAGGAAATTTTATTTCACTTAGTTTGAGAATTAGTTCAATCTGACTTATGTGTTTGAAAGAGGATAACTTAAAGAAGTAAACGAGCTAGGCAGATTTGAAGTGAAATTATGGAATATGCTTTGTATTTGCTGTTCAGTGAATAGGACTATTTGTTGGTAAAGTAGACATGTATGTCTTTATCCTTTTGGCTACAAATTTGAGGAAGATTTTTCTCTGTGTACTTGCGATTAGAATTACAAAAAAGCAAAGCATTGGGTATTTAAACAGTGCTGTATAGTAAACCACATTTTTTATTTTGGAATGACATGGGAATATATAGTGTTAGGTTAAGTCTATTTTTAAATTTATTTTTTGATTATAGCTTGCATTCAACATTTTTTGTGTTCCAGATGTACAGCACAGCGGATACACATTCATATAGGTTACCAGCTTAAATCTTAAATTTAAATATGTTAAGATTCTCTGTAGCAGTTTTGTAGCAGTTCACTTAAAAAATGTAAAGGCATTATAGTTACCTTTAAATAATTTCAACTGGCCGAAACCGGTTTGGCTCAGTGGAAAGAGCGTCGGCCTGCGGACTGAAAGGTCCCGGGTTCGATTCCGGTCAAGGGCATGTACCTGGGTTGCGGGCACATCCCCAGTAGGAGATGTGCAGGAGGCAGCTGATCGATGTTTCTCTCTCATCGATGTTTCTAACTCTCTATCTCTCTCCCTTCCTCTCTGTAAAATATCAATAAAATATATTTAAAAATAAAATAAATAAAATAAATAAATAATTTCAACTGATACTTTAAATTTGACTACTCCATCATATGCCAACAAATTAAAAATCTATGTAGAAAATGTAGTAAAACTAGGTACAGACTATGGATTAGTTCACAGCTTTTTCTTAATCAGTTTGGCCATTATTTTGAAGGTGTGTGTTCTGTGGGGGATTTTTCCTCCTTTTTAACACTCTCAGATGAGTCATGTTTTTTTAAAAGGTCAAGTACCTAGTAGGCCCACTGTTAAACAGTAGGTGTAATAGTAGTAATGGTGGGATAGTAGAGTCCTGGTGTGTGGGTGTAATTTAGTAGTTCTAGTTAATGGAAAAAAATAACTATATAGTTTAGGGGAAAGGAAAAATACACTGTGGACTGTTTTAATAGATGGAGGAGTAGCAAGAGAAGGTACTCTCTAGTTAGTATTTAAAGAGATATGACAGGCAACTGTGGTATGTGCCCTTGATGGGGAATCGAACCCATGACTTTTGAGAGTAATTTTAAAATACTTAATGTATTTTTGGCTGAAATGTTGTATTTAGAAGTTTTAGATGGAGACATTGGTTCCTTAGGAGTTTATTAGTGCTGTGCATAGTTTTTCTTAGTTTTGTTGTTGTTGTAAGTTTAAAAAAAACTTTCTAAATTGGGAAATTTCAAACATGCACAGAAGTAGAGAGACTAGTATGAGTTCCATGTATGATCACCCAGCTTGAACTATCTTTTGGGGGTGTGTCACTGGGTTTGGGATACTGGCATATTTTAGCAAATGCCAGACACTATGTCATTTTTCTTTAATACTTAAATATATGTCTCTGATAAAGACTTAAAAATAGAAAAAAATAAAATAAAACTAGAGTTCCAGATGGTTAGGGCATCTTCCCAATACACCAAGGTTGCTGGTTTGATCCTCTGTCAGGGCACATGCAAGAATCAACCAATGGCTCTGTCAGTGTTGCTCAGTAGAGTGTCAGCCCACGGACTCAAGGGCCATGGGTTCGATTCCCTGTCAAGGGCACGTACCGTGGTTGCAGGTTCCCCAGCTCCAGTAGGGGTGTGTGCAGGAGGCAACCAATTGATGTTTCTCTCTCTCTCCCTCCCCCCCTCCTACTTCAATTGCACTCTCTCTAGAAATCAATGGGAAAAATATCCTCAGGTAAGGATTAAAAAAAGAAGAAAGAAAACCTAGAACCTAAGTGTTATTTTTAGTAGTAAAAAGCATCATGCCCAGCCAGCATGGCTCAGTGGTTGAGCATCGACCTATGATCCAGGAGGTCACGGTTTGATTCCTGGTCAGGGCACATGCCCAGGTTGTGGGCTCAATCCCCAGTGTGGGGCATGCAGGAGGCAGCTGATCAATTATTCTCTGTCATCATTGGTGTTTCTATCTCTCCCGTCCTCTCTGAAATAAAATAAAAATATATTATTTTCTAAAAAAGCATAATGTGCCCTGGCCCATGCTTCTCAGTGGTTAAACATCAGCCCGTGCACCAAAGGGTCTCAGGTTCGATTCCAGGTCAAGGGCGCATAACTGGATTTCAGGTTGGCTCCTCACCTCCACCCTTACCCCCTGTCGGGGTGCCAGCAGGAGGCAACCAGTTGATGTATCTCTCTTACATCAATGTTTCTCTCTCTCTCTCTCTCTCTCTCTCTCTCTCTCTCTCTCTCTCTCTCTCTTTTTTCCCTCGCCCTCTTTGCCTCCCTCCCACTCTCTCTGAAAAGCAATGGAAAAAATATTCTCGGGTGAGGATTAGGAAAAAAAAAGAGAGAGAGAGAGAGAGCGCATTATGAAATATTTCTTCTGAATTTCTTGGTATCTTCCCTTGATATATCAATTTCAGATTTTAATGTTTTGGACCACTATGTCTAACTTATGCACAGAGTGCAAATATTTATTGGAGATGAACTATTTGATATATTGAACAGTAGTTAACATTTCAACATTATAAACTATAAACCCACTTTCAAACTCATAGATGAACATTTTTCTTACACTATTCTTAACCATCCACTTAACTGTGTCCTAAGATAGTATACCACACTATCTGTGTTATCTCATTTAATACTTTTGATAGCCCTGGGAGGTGGATAGTATTATCTTGGTTGAGAAACAAGGCTCAGAGAGATGAAGCAATTTGTCCAACATAACATCCTGAGTGGCAGTGCTTGTATTCAGGAAGTTCTTTGTAACT